TTATATTCAGAATGTGCTAAATTTTATTGTCAATAAGATGGTTAATCAACTAAATTAAAATAATCACGTAACAACATTGCGCCCGTAGACGATTCGTTGGCTTTGTCTCCACTCCTTAGTGTTTTTAAACTATCTTTTTGATGAATTACGTGTTTTTGACGATTGTTAGCCCTGTGAGTTCAAATTTATTATTTAATAAATTAATTGATTTTTGAAATAATAACTAAATATTGGACAACATCACATACTTTGCTCTGATCTCAAAGTAGGTAACTAAAGCATTCGTGTTAAGAAAATCAGATCCAACGACGGTACCACAAATACCCAGACCCGAGACAATATTGATAAGTAATTTTTTTACATTAACCAGGCCGGAGATCGAAAGTCTCAGGTTCGATCACATCTCAGGTATGATGACATCATGAAAATTGGTATACAAACAACTCGACCACAGACGTCGTCAAACGGTTTTTGAAAAACTTTGAAATGAGTCGGATATATTTTTAAACCCGCGCAAATTTGACCTTATGCTGGAACAACGGTTTGCACGATGCATGGACGCTGGGCGAGGAGGCGCCTCTCAAGGAGAGGGTCATGGGTTCATTTCGGGCACCTCTGAGTTTTCGGGATTTATGTGTGAAATTTAATTTGAAATTGACGACGTAAAGAAATCTGCACACATCTACAAAGTAATTTAATGATATGTGTGAAGTTCGCAATCCGCATTTGGCCCGCGTGGGAAATACAGCCCAAGCCCTCTCATTGTGAAAGGAGGTCTGTGTCCAGCAGTGGGGCTATATACAGGCTAATTTATTATTACTTTACATTGATACACCAATTTGAAAAACACAAGGAACCATAATCTCGGTACAGAGTACTAAAAAAACCGGCTTTAAAAGTCATTCATTCCCTAGTTTGCCACCCTTAGAGGTGAAATATTTAAATGAAATCACTCCTGAAGTACCCTCTTTCCAACAAAAAAAGAATCATAAAATTCATCGGTTCACAAATGGCGGAGTTGTCGCGTATCATACATCCAAAAACAATAGGTACATCGAATTGAGAACCTCCTCCCCTTTTTGAAGTCGGTTAAATATTTTATAGTATAGCTATAGAATGTTACTATTGGCTTCTGAGATACTGCTCTTCTCCGCTCTGTTTTGCTAGATAATGAATCTTAGCCGAAAGTTTTTATGTTTGCCTGTAGCATTTGTCCAGGAAAGTTAAACAATACTAATACACAAATTATTATGTGAATTACAGCCCAAACCCGTTCATTATTTATGATAAGATCGACCAGACGAAGCACAAGCAGAAACAATATACTTTTCATTTAGAATAATAATAATAATAATAGGTATAGCATCATTAATGAAAAGTATATTGTTATATTGCAAAAGTTATTTTAATGCAACTAAGTAAACTTCATTTGACATCCAGTGCGTACCCAAACTTTCAAAAACACATGTTTCCGCTCGCCTCCAGGCGTTTGTAAGTAGATATTAATACTCAAGGCTTTGTTGACTCCCCCTGTCTTAACATTAATAACTCGTAGCTTAGGGAAATTAGGTACCTTTCCTTAATGTACAGACTTAGCTTTGTTTACGCGACTATGAGCTTTGGAACGTAGAATAAAATTGTTGGTATACATTTTTTCCTATCAACAACAACAATTGCTATTGTGACAGAAATAACATATATTTGAAGTCCAAGGAGACTTGCCTTGTGTGATCCAACTTATCTATCATTCATTTTCTTGAATTGAAAAAGCGCGCAAAGAAAAAAATAAGAGAAAACGTCAACAAGAGCGTCGTTGCTAAATTGAAATAGACAGAATGTGACTTCCTTTTTATAGAATTATTAATTTTTGTTACCATTTTAGTTCAAAATTATTGTGTAAATTATTTTGATAATGTATTTATTTGCTACAATGTATGCAATACTTGTTTTTATTTCTATCTTATCCCGAATTAATAATAGTATAAAAACGCACTCACTCGTAGCCCCGCACTAGGGAAAATCTGTGTCGCGGGTGTCATAGACACAAATATATACGCGGGGCGCACTATAAGTTTCCGGAATGAATAAGACAAAAATACTATAAATGGTCAGAAATGAATTTATTGTTTCTCAAAATGTTCTCCGTTAGCGTTAATGCACTTTTTCATACGATGAACCAATTTTGAAAACATTTATGCCACTCCTACGTGACACATATTTTTCATACTCTTCGACAGCCTCTTCAGGTGATGAAAATCGTTGACCGCTTAACTGGTTCTTAATTTTTGGAAATAAATAAAAGTCACAAGGTGCCAGGTTGGGACTATACGCGGGATGGCTCATAAGGTCAACGTTGATCACCTTCAAAAATTCATTTGTCTGTCTGGTCGTGTGAGAACTGGCATTATCCTAGTGCAAGATGATACGGTGCTTACGGTTATTTTTACGGATTTTATCAATAACTTCCGCCAAACAAATGGTCGTGTACCAATCACTATTCACGGTACAACGATTTTCCAAAGCAACAGTAGCCACGTGTCCAGTTTTATTAAAAAAAAGAAGCAGTCATCCGCTTAGAGGCAGTTTGCACGCGCGCCACTTTGGTTAGTTTCGGCAGATCTCGAGAGACCAATACGCTCGATTGCTGCTTTGTTTTGGAATCGTAACTATAAATTCATGTTTTGTCACCTATTACTATGTCCCACACCAAATTTGATGTCCCTTCGTTGAATCTGGTATGCAATGCCATCATTTATCAAGTGACGCGATCAGTTTTAAAAGCCTCAGTCAAATTGTGTGGGATCCACCGAGAGCACAGCTTTTTCACCCCCAAATGTTTGTGTAGTATAGATTCTATTTAACTCATGCCTATGCCTAAAAATGCCCGAATCTCATGGTATGTCACATGCCTGGCTGTTTTGATCATAAGGCGCACAGCATCGATGTTTTTGTTGTCCACAGCATTGGACGACTATAACGAAATTCGTCACTGAGATTCATACGACCGCGTTTGAATTCTGCAAACCAGTTATAAATAGTCGTCTTGCATGGAGTTTCATCGCCAAAAGCAGTTTGAAGCCGAGGGAAGCTCCGCTGAGCTATTAAATTGCACTGAAAGTCGTAGAAAATCATATTACGAAAATTTTCACGAGTTAAATCCATGGTGATGTAGACAACCAATTTATAAATGACGCTACAATGTAAAAACAAGTGACAGTTAGATGAAACAAACTGTATTCTACAGCCAAATAGTTCTATGGTCAAATGTTCTAATTACTTTTTAAATATTGTTTATGTAAGTGGCCAGTTCCGGAAACTTATAGTGCGCTCTATGTACAACCACAAATTACACGAAAACTCACCGAGGAAGAAACTTAGGCCATACAAATATTTCCCCCAAACCGGGAATCGAATACGGGACCTATGCAAAGCATGGGTTTTGTTTTTTATAATATCAAGTAACAGAACAATAAGTAGTACGCATGATGGTAAGCTAAACGCCTGTCCATTTGTTGCAATGTCACAATTGACAAGTAACACAGTTGACAAGTCCCATGTACCCGTAATTTCGCCAGCACCTTTACCCTTCAAAACCGGTAAGCAGTAATGCTCACATTACTACTTGCCGGCAGAAATAGGAAAGGTGATAGTACTTCCCTGGACGAACTCTGCTCTACTGCTGGTAACTGCTCCTATATGTAGATAACTTAACAGTAGTAGAACTCCTTGTGAAACAGTTGGTCCAGGGAAGTATTCTGTCCTCCTTGTCATACTAACACATTTGAATTCAGGTAATTTTCGAGATATTGGCACCTTAAGTTTTTTGTTTCTTTAAAAAATGTCAATTCTGATATTGCTTAACAATAAAATTGAAACTATAAAATTTTGGGTTGTAGATCGTTTTGCTGATTCCAGGTCATGCCGAGATTTCGCTAAAAATGTCGATTACAATTTTTAAGTTTTATTGAATGTCACGAATGTTTGATCACCGTGATATACAATTATTTTTGTGAAATCACTCCACTAGTTTGTTATAACTATTAATACAAAGATCGAACACTCAGACAAAATTCCTTCGATACTATGCCAACTAAGCCACGGAACAAACAAGCGGATCTCACATTTTTTTCTGTGCTAGTTGCGGATCTTCGTAATTTGGTTATCAATTACTTTTTTTGACGACTTTTTTGCGCCGTAGCGCCATCTGTGTGAAATATATTTCTTCACTCAACAATGTCGATTACGTTAGCTATGATAAAGAGGGTAGTTACTGGCACCATTCCTACTTCTGCCGCCAAGCAGTACCGCTCACTTTTCTGCGTTCTGGCTTTGAAGGGCAAAGGCGCATTTATTCGATACGAATTTCATTGCGCTCGCGGAGACCGCGTTGCCACCGCGCAACGACCGTGTCCGTCTAACTGTCATGGCAAAATACGCTCTATTTATTTAGCTTTTACGTTTTAACTTAACGAGCTCCTGGGCGCGTGAGGAAGGCTGGCATGTCTTTGGTCTACGTGGCGACCGGGCGACATTCGCGCGGTTTCCGTGCGGAGACCTCGTGGTTGTATTATTCCGAGGAATTCAAATGTTGTTGCCTAGTAAATAGAATTCAAATTCATTCAGATTCGATTAATGCACTTGAAGACGCGGTAAGTGGGCGGTCGCCGCGCGACAGCCGTTCGAAAACTTTCACGTCGTGAAAGTATGCGCGTAGGGTGTGCTGAAATTACTGCCACATGGAACTTGTCAACTTTATGTCTCATGGTGATGGGCGCAATAGCAGTGCCCCTCAACTCTTTGCGATTTCAAAGCTTTAAGAGGCATTACAACTTGTTACGGGTCGGCATTTCGCTGTCCACACCGCGTACGGATTGTTCGTATCATGTCGTCACTTGATATCATTAAAAAAAACTGGAATAGTACAAAATTACGATTTAAGACGGATTTAAGACGAAGTAAAGTAGAAAATCGTATTTAAGCACTGTAGTAAATCAACTTACCTTCATATTTCTATAGTCTACTAGCATGTTAGACCTGGAACAAAAATGCACAATTTTAGTACACTTGCTATTAACAAATCACATTGGACAATTCAACGAATAGAGAATATCTGTTATTACATTTATAAACATAATATGCACCCGTTTTTTCAATACACCTATTAAAAGCTTATTTATTCCTTTGCAGTGGAATAGTGGAGAACGAGATTCCGAAATGATCATTATAACTACTTATCGAGTGACTGATAAAATATGGCGTTGGTTGTGATCTCGTAGATGTATTAGCTTATGATATTTTATTTTTTGTGGAATCTTTTAATTGGCATACAATTGTTCACATGGAATTTCACTTTGTAAATAAGTTGTAAGCTACAATAAAATAAAATCTGCTAAGTCTTGGAAATTATTTTTGATAGTTTATTTGGAACTAAATTGTTTTCTACGTAGATAATTTATAAATTGCGAAAAAATGTGGTGGTGGCCAAGTCAGATGAATATGAGCTTTAATCTGCAACTGCTGTGAAGTGGTGTATTCTACAGCATGCACTATGACGTAGTCTTCTAAAAGTAGCGGCTAAGATCGGTAGATGTTTCTCAATAAGTCTTGCCATCACCGACATCATTTCTAAACAATATTAATGTTGGATCAGGTTTAAGGAAACTACGGTGCGTTATTCCGTAACTGGACCACCAAACTTTAGATAAGTTTCTTTTTTCGACACTGTGTTGCTTTGTTGCTAGGGTTGAAGCATTCCGTTGATCGTCTACAATTATGTTACGAAAAAAAAATATAATTAAAAATGTTACGAATTTAAACAGTATCGCTCTTCACAAATGCCGAGTCAAACGCAAATTTATCAAAACAAAAAAAACAACGCTAACGTTTTTAATTCCGAAACCTAAACAATTTATTTTAAAAGTTTTTAATCTGAATCTTACACTAAAAAAACTTTATCTTACTTGAAAGTGGCCAGAACTTTACCACTTCAATTTCAAACTTTAAACCCTAAAACTAAGGTTTAAAATTCTTTGCATAGTTCTCCTGTGAAAAAAGTCTTAGCGAAGCCGAATTGGATGCTGATAAGCAAACACATGTCAACCTACATAACCATAGTTTTGCGAAAATGGCTTTAGGTGCCATTTGTAAGACTTGGTGGCTTTTGATAGTTAGTTCTAAAATTTACTTGTAAATTGAATACTTCTGCTGTTGTGCTTGTTGTTGTTGTTGTTGTTGTTGGAAAATTATAGTAATAATTCGCAAAAATTCACCACTCTTAAGGCAGGGCTCCGTCACTCGCTCAAGGTTACGCGATAAGTGCCTATCGCTGAGTGTGTCGACGTCAATACAAACGCTCAGAGGGTGTCACACGCACATCTGAATGGTCTTTCGGCACGTTTCGTAAAAAATCGTTGCAATGTCGAAATAGCGTCATTATTGTTCAGTGGATGAGTGTAGAAGTACGAATACTGACAATTAATAAAATAATTAAAAAAAAAAAATTTTTGTTTTTCATTACCAAAAGGCGAAGACAGGTATGTTAACGTTGTGTTTTAGTATAATATCTTTATTTTCGATTATTAGTGCAATTGATGGCACCGAAGCTGTTAAGTTGGTTGATTGTGATCAACGAATTATGCGATATTTAAATGTTTAGAATCATGCCTAATGTAAGAAAATACACACTTATTTTCAATTATTTTATGTAAGCGAGACTCAAGCAAACGATTTTTGAATCATTTCTTTCTGTATTCTATCGTTCTACTTTGTTTATAATGTACCTACCCACTTTTTATTATCGTTTTAAGTATTTTTAAGTATAATTCAGTGGAGCTTTGCTCCGATTCAAACTGCTTTTGGAGATGAAGCACCATGCAAGATGACTATTTATAGCTGACTTGCAGAATTCAAACGCGGTCGTGTGAATCTCTGTGACGAATTTTCGTGATGGTCGCCCGTCCACTGCTGTGAACAACAAAAACATCGATGCTGTGCGCCGTATGATCGAAACAGAAAGGCATGTGACATACCATGAGATTCGGGCATCTTTAGGCAAAGGCATGAGTCAAATACAATCAATACTACACAAACATTTGGGGGTGAAAAAGCTGTGCTCTCGGTGGATCCCACACAATTTGACTGAAACTCAAAAAACGGATCGCGTCACTTGGTCCATCGTCATGCTTACCAGATTCAACGAAGGGGCGTCAAATTTGGTGTGGGACACAGTAACAGGTGACAAAACATGAATTTATAGTTACGATCCCAAAACAAAGCAGCAATCAAGCGTATGGGTCTTTCGAGATGAGCCGAAACCATCGAAACCAACCAAAGTGGCGCGCGTGCAAAGTGCCTCTAAGCGGATGTTTGCTTCTTTTTTTAATGAAACTGGATACGTGGCTGCTGTTATTTTTGAGAATCGTTATACCGTGAATAGTAATTGGTACACGACCATTTGTTTGCATGAAGTTATGGACAAACTCCGTAAAAATAACCGTAAACGCCATATCGTCTTGCACCACGATAATGCCAATTCTCACACGGCCAGATAGACAAATAAATTTTTGAAGGTGAACAACGTTGACCATATGAGCAATTCCGCGTACAGTCCCGACCAGGCACCTTGTGACTTTTATTTATTTCCAAAAATTAAGAATCAGTTACGCGGTCAACGATTTTCATCACCTGAAGAGGCTGTCGAAGAGTATGAAAAATATGTTTCAAGATTGTCAAGGAGGAGTGGCATAAAAGTTTTCAAAATTGGTTCATTCGTATGAAAAAGTGCATTAACGCTAACAGAAAATATTTTGAGAAACAATAAATTCATTTCTGACCATTATATAGTGCACCACACGTAATCATCAAGAATACTAACATAATCATTATAATATTTATAAAGAATAATAATAATAATACAACTCACTGGGTCAAAGTGCTACACAACCACGCTAATAATCTTGTCTCAAACTAGATAATTTCCTGTACTATGAATACTAGAGTAAATAAATTCCCTTGGAGGCGCAACCCAAAACACCCAAAACAGAGCAAATTCATTAAATTTCATTTTGAAAATTAGCCCAACCGGGAATCGTACCGTCGAGCTCCAGTTGAGAGGCAATCGTTCTCCCATTGCTTTACTAAATAAATAATTGTAATTTCAAAGTCTCAGCCCTTGCACATTCTATTCCGCACGACTGCACACGGGGCAACCTTGTTTTCACGTCTATGATCGCGTGCTTAGGTTTCTTTTTCTCGTAGTCCTTTCCATTTCCATTCCTGGTCTCATTAGTGATATTTAGTAGGCTATCATAGCGTAGGTATATTCGATTTTGTATGTAAGTGAAGTATCTGTTACGTAGTAACTATTAAGTAATATATGCCTGAGGTGACAAAACCAAAAATTTTCATTTTATAAGTCAATTTTAGAACAAACTATCAAAAACAAAAAATCTTTAGATGTCATTGTCGCAAAACCATGATAGTTGACACGTTATTTACCTACTTATCAGCATCCAATTCATATTAGACATTCCATGATATAGTCAGTCGTGGTGGCTGCGACTGTCGTGACGAAATCGTAGTTGCGTCGCCCTTCTAAGGACGCCGCTATTACTTCCTTATTTAATTTCCTATATCTGCAAATACGTAAGTTGGTTTGCATCTTATGCTAACCAGGATTCCTTAACACTTGTGATATTTGATGGTGTCCGAATCTCGTATATCGACACAACCAAGAACCTTGGGGTCATTTTGGTTAGATATCTCACATGGAATGGTGTTTGGTGCGATTTTTCACTAACATTTAGAATCGTTTGGCCACTTAAGACTAATTATTCTAACCCAGAGTATTCTCCTTTTGATACTGAAGTATGCTGAGGTTTTCTATCCGCCACATTAGACAATCACCCAGCTCAATAACTGTTAATATATCCAAAATATGTGTGTAAGATTTATGTTATGATATTGTAAATTTGATCACGTCTCCCGATTTCGCACATAACTCAAACAACTGCCCATCGATCGGATTAGCGATCTTCACTTCCTATTCCTTCTCAACTACACTCTATTCTATGCCTTTACATCTGCTTACATCAAAGAACGTTTTATCTTTCACTATCCTACACTGTGCCTTATATGATACCCTCAAACTGTACTTACCTCCACTATTTGAATACCTCAGGCTGTAACACGTTTTTTTTACCTTGTCAGCTATTCAGCTGTAGAATTTACTGTACTTAACCTATTCGACGATCCCCTTCCCTTGATTCTTTCAAACGATATCTCAAGGAACGTTTCCTGAAATCCTAACGTTCCTCCTTTCTCCCCTATCGCGTTATGTATTTCCTCATTACATTGCGTTATTTTCCTATATTTTTCCTACAAAAGTATATAAGTAAATTAATTATTATTTGTATGTATACATTGTTGACATTCAATGTAAAGTGTATTTATATTAAATACTCCTATAAAAATATTCCTTGGTTGTACTCCCTCCTTTCGTATCCTAAGATTGCTTGCAAGAAATCAGCAATAAGACATATATTTAATTATCTTATTTTGACATACTTGGATTACTGTTATGTGTCGTCACTGTTTTGGTACTTGGTGGAACGGGCTAGTGTCCGCAACTCGACGACAAAGCGCCTATTTTGCGTCACTGTTTTAAAATATTTTATTCATGCATTCAAATACAAAGACAGAGTTGCAAAAATACAAGATTAACCTCTATCAAAGCAAAGCTGGAGACGGTATATTCTTTAACGGAAGCATTAAAGCTATTAGACGTTTGTGCAACTGGGCGATAATCCCCTTATTATCAGTTTAATGGCCTGGAAGCAAAAATAAAATACAATTTGTAAAAGTATTAAGGTCGACCCCAGCATTCCAAACACACCGTCTTAACTAACACCCCTAAGGGAAAAAACTCCTGAATACAGCAATATTGGAAAAGCGAAAAGTAATAAAATAAAAAGTCTATGTGTATTTGCTGACAAATCGACTGTGGTTCCGCAGTTCATTAATCTAAATCCAAAATA